AATCCAGCAGTGTATTGAATGAAAGAATAATACACTGTGACCAAGTAGAAACTTTGTCTCCAGGAATGCAAGAGTGACTCAACATTAAGAAATCCATCAATATCATCACGTTAATAGGCCAAAGGAAGAAAAGCCATATGATAATATTGACAACATACTTAACAAAATCTAAAATGTACTCCCAGTTATAATGCTATTTAATAGTGTAGGAGTAAAAAGAAACTCTCCTTAACCCAAGAGAAGATTTTGTTCCTCAGTCTCCCATCACCCCCTGAGAAAACATCCCTCATGTCCACCACCATACTTCTTATAGCCAAATTCAGTGGACACTTGTTTTCTTTCCCAGACTTGACTTCTCAGCAGCATTTGCTGCTATTGATCCCCCCATCCCACCCAGAAATTTCTCTGGGTTTCACTTCCAGTATGAGCTAGTCAACTTCTAACAAAACAGCACTCCTGCAGATAGTGATGATAAACAAGCAAACAAAAAGCTACCCAAGGACTCTAGAAAACAAGCAAAGCAGGTTGATTTTAAGGATGAGTCAGGGTTTCTATTGGGAATTCAACGTGGGTATCAGATTTCCTAAAGAAATCCTGCCATTTTTTCTTCTGGCAACAGAAACCAGAAAAAGGATCCTGGGGCAATCAAACTGGTTGGAGAGTGAGATGAGAATCCCAAACTTGGCCAGAGAAGGGGTACATCCCAAGTTCCTGGCATGGGATGGTCTGAGAGCAGTCTGAGCTGAGGTGGCACAGTTTACAGTTGGAGCCTGACCAAGTCCACTTGCGAGCTGATGCAAAACTCCAGTGCCAGCCAGAGAAGAGCCGCACAAGCGACAGTCCCAGCAACATGACCGTCACACGTGCAGGAGATATCCCACACCACACAGCATATGTGAGGGCCAGAACGTATACTTTATTCTCAAGGGAAAAGACCACTGAGGCCAACTCTGATGCTGGAATGATCAAAAAAAAGGATCTTAAGACAACCCTTATGACTATGTTCATGAAGATAAAGGAAAACATATTTACAATGAATGAAAAGACAGGGCATTTCAGCAGACAAGTAAGACACAGTACGAATATCTAAATGGAAGTTTAGAAGTGAAAATACAGTTGATGAAACTAAGAACTTACTAGAAGGGATTAGCCATAGAATGAAGGCATAAGGAAGGGTCTCTGAATGTGAAGTTCAATATAATGTGCCCCATGTGAAGAAAGGAGAAAATATTCTAAAAACATGAACAGAGACTCTGGGACATATAGAATAATTTAGCATTTGGGTAACTGGAGAGGAGAAAGAGAAAGAAGCAAAAAAAAAAAACAAAAAAAAAAACATTAAAGTTGTAATTACTAAAAACTTCCCAAATTGGTTAAAAACACACACTTACAGATTCAAGTAGTTCATTGAAATTCAAGTAGGGTCAGTTTGAAGAAAATCGTGGCTGAGTGAATCAAAGTCAAACGGATGAAATGAAAATTCAAAAGGAAACTCTTGAAGGAAGAAAATGGCCCATGACATAATGGGAAGGATGACTCAGTGATCCAGTCTTCTCCTTGGAGACCGTGGGGACCAGAGACGGTGGCACACACCTGCTGGAGCCTAGAACTTGCTTTCCCTCCTCTGTTGTGGCCAGGGCTTCAGTTTCCCTGTCCCGTCTTCTCAAGTCTCCTTTTGGTTCCCCCTTTCCCTAAGGGCCAGTGAGCCTCATATGGACCAGGCACCCTCTACCTTTCCCGTTCCCCGAGTTGGCCTCCGGGTGAGGTCACCCGCTCCCACAGCTTCAGTGATGGAATGCATCCTGGAAACCCCAAATGCAGGCCTCCTGCTCCATGGTTCTGCGTTTGTGCCGAGACCCCTGCCTGCTCACCTGGCCGACAGCACCTGAGGCTCTCTGTGTTGGCACCGGCTCTTCCTCCAGGGCTCCCCGCTCAGGGAGTGACTGTCCAGCAGCCCACTGGTCGGAGCCAGGATTCTGGGAGCCAGTGCTCTTCTTCTCTCTCGCCTCCCGTCACATCCGTCACATCCGGCCAACCTTACTTACCACCAACAAGCTCTCTTCACCTGGAACTTTCCATGGACGGAGAGCCACACTGTGCTACCTGCTGCACATCTGTTCAGTCACTTCGTCCCCAAACAGAGCTAATCCTCCCCATTTTGTTGATGGTCAACTGAGAAAGTGACTTGTCAACGGTCACTTAGTTGTTCTTGAGCACCCCGGGTCAGGCCCTGGGCTGGGCATCAGTCACGTAGAGGAGGACAGGCGGGCAGGCTGCCTGCCCCTGCAAACACCGTCTGGAGGGAAACGCTGGCAGCTGACAAGGACTTTAATGAGCTGATTACATAATTATGGGCTGCAGAGAATAACAGGCCATGGATCTGCCGACTGCAACGCTCCCCACTCCTCCTGTGGTTGAGGGGTGGTGCCCAAATCCTCTTGCCTCCCAAGGCCAAGGCCAGAGATGTTTGTGGACCTGCGCTGTCCGGCAGTCCTCTCCTGGCTCCTAGGCATCTCCTGTCCACCTCCTCCTCCAGCTGTGAGCTCCAGTGTACAGGTGGAGTGGGGCAGGCAGCCCCGCTGGCCAGGCAGCCTCAGAAAGGTGCTCTGAGGGGGATTCCTGGGGCCGGCACCAGATTCTCTCGTGTGGACCTCAAGCCAAGGGAGAGCCCTTCTAAGGCTTGGGAGCTCAGGCTCCTGCTCCAGAACCGCCCTTGGGTCTCCAGAGGGCTTTGGGGGTGGGGGTCCAGCCCCATGCTCACTTTTGGGCCATGTCCCCACCATGAACACAGAGGTGGCCAGCACCTGTTGCCCAGTTCCCCAGGCCCCCCCCGCCCAGACTCCTTGTGTGAGGAGGATTTATCATCACATTTTCCCAGGGGATCCCAGGGTGAAAAGCCCTCCGTGTGCACCCCCATAATGCTCTGGACACTCCTGGGGCAGGCTCCGTGCCCACCAGCCCCATCCCCCAGGTGAGAAGACCGAGGCTCCCGCAGGACGCGGGCAAGCTTAGGGTCCCTCAGGGTGCCTGCCAGCTGCTATGTCTCTCCTCCCCGTTTCTCTGACCCTGGTGCCCCCCACCCCCTGCCACCAGGCAGCTCCTAGACTCTGGCCCAGGAGACACTGCCTCGAGTGGGAAGTGCTGCAGGCTGGGAGGACGGCAGCTGTGCCTGTGTCGGCTCTGTCCTCAGGAGTCGCTGCTGGCAGCCTCCCCCACGGGGCAGAAGGGTGAAAGAAGAGGTTCTGAGAAAGGGGTGCTTGGTGGCCAGAATGCCTGCCCTGYGCAGGCCGCAGGCCCACGTCTTCTCTCCTCTTAGCTGGACAAGGCCCTCCCACCAGGTCTGGGGCCCCATCTGGACCCTCATAGGGGTCAGGCCTTGTGTGCCCAAGGTGCCTGGGGTCCCCTGGGCTCAGCAGGTGTCGGGCCCTGTGTGCATCCTCTTGGGGTGAGGATGAGTGGAACTGTTGGCTGCACAGTCCTAGACTGGAGCCCCTTCTGCTCTTGGGCTTGACTCTGGAGCACAGGCCAGCAGGATGGGAGAAGGTGGTAGGCACCTCAGCTTCTGTCCCTGTCCTCTTGCCACCTAGGACCCTGCCAGCGCCAGGTGCATTCAGGCATCTTTGTTCTCTCTTGAACTGGTGGATTTCCACATCACAGAGTCTGAGAAGAGGGCCCAGGGCCCGCAGTGCGGCTCATCTTTACGAGATCACTGCTGCGCTGTGGCCAGCGAGTGAAGAGAACCTCCCAGCGTCTGAGAACACCACGAGAGAGCATCCCTCCCACTGCCGCCCACCAAGTCCCCACGTCCTCACGTGCCTTCTCCTACAGGTCCAGCACACACCGCCAGCCACGACCCGAAAGCGGAGGCTGCCTAGGCATCTGCGCGCCCCGCAAGCCACAGAGACCCGCAGAACGTGGAGCGATGCCATCGTCCCCTGCACTTGTTTGATTTCGAACAGCCTCGTTATTTCTATCACACAGGCCGCTGTGTCCTGGGGACCCTGGTACTGGGGACCCATACGATGCAGTGGGTTTTTGTTTTGAATTTAAATGAGTTCATTTATCCTGCTTTAAGTTTTTCTTTAAAAATATGACTTAAATGTCCCGACTTCGACTTCTAACACGGTATCTAGTAATGGGTACGATCTCACATCCACAAAAGGCCTCTTTCTGGATCCTCAGTAGACCCTAGGACTGTAAAGGGGTCCCGAGGCCAGAATATCTGAGGGCTGAGTCCTCAGAGCCTGGGCTCCAGGGCCACCAGCTCTGCCGCGGGGGCCCTGCTTTCAGTGTTCTCCATCCTGGCGTGCTGCCCGGCTCCCCCAGGCCTCAGCGTGCCTTGTGTGACAGAGACCCCAGGAGCCCAGGGTCACGCAGGACGAGCAGTGGGAAGAGCCTGGGGCCACGCCATCCAAGAGCAGCAGGACAGTCCTTAGGCCAGGGCAGAAGCTCGTTAGGGCTACAGAACACTGCCCAGAAAGTCCAGAGCTCCCAGGACCCCCTCCTCACCCAGGCCCAGCTTCCTTGTGGCCATTGTGCCCCTAGGTGGGAACCAGTGGGTGGGTGCCGCTGACTGAAGCCCAGAGTCCCGAAGGGCCTGTTCTGTGCACAGGACAGGTGTGTGATGGCGGGTTCCCAGCACCACAGGAGCATGTAGCTTCCCTGTCCTCAGGCTGCACCTGTCCATTCCCCCTCCTAGGCCCTGGCCCTACCTATCTTTTACTGTCCCCTCGGTAGCCTTCTGTGGATCATAGAATGAGACTCAAACGGCTTTTTTTTCACATTGGCTTCTTGCACTGGGGACCACGCACTTAGGGACCCCAGGCCGCTTATGGTTGAGAACTAACTTCTTCTCAGCCCTAAACAGCATGCCCCACCCACATGGACGTCCCCCTGTGTGTCTCTCCTCTCGCCCACGAAAGGCATCCGGGCTGCTTCCTCATTTGGGTGATGATGAATAAAGCCACCACAAACATTCGTGCTCAGGTTTGGGTGTGAATATTAGTTTTCTCACTAGTCTAATTTTATTTCAAATTTATGATCAAGTCATCTCAAGATGATTTTGATCTGCAAGACAACTCCCCTTGGTTCCTTCGAAGATCTTCTTGGGTCCGAGCTGACCGGCCCAGCGTGCCGTGCCCATGTACCCTGCTGCGCTGCTGCTGTTCCCCGTGTGGACAGTCGGGTCCATTTCCAGACTCTTTCTCCCGGTTGACCTACATCTCCAGCTCTGCACTGTGGCCCAGCAGTTCCCACCGTCGCAGGCCTAGAACACAGCATTTACTGTTTTAACTGCCTTCTGTTTTCAACACCCTAGTAAAACTGGCCTGACTTCTTTAACCCCCCACCCACCTACTCCTGGCTCAGACCCTGCTTGTCGTGAGCCCACCTGAACCTGAGATTCGGAGCAGGGCTGACCCTGCGTCGTCACCCATTGGAGCAGTCTTTGGGGTTTTAAACATTGTCATTGAAGCAGATCCTACACTTCCGAGTTCCCCCTGTGACCGGCACTGAGCCCGCTGCAGCTGAGGGGCTCTGGCTTCAAGAGGGGCCTATGGGGGCTCCCGCCTGGTCCCTGCAGAGCCGTCGGCCTGGCACTCTGCTTGGGGCCTCTCTTGGCCGGCCACCATTGCCAAGGCACACAGCTGCCACTTGCCCTGGCTGGGCTCCCCTCCTGAGATCCCTCCTGTCCCCTTCCTATCAGCTGACTGGGACTCTTGTGGCCGTGCCCTGCTGGGCTGGGCTGGACGAGTCCTGACTACAAGGTCCTGCTCAGGCCTTCTTCCCTCCTCCCGTTCCCAGTTTCAGTCTCAGCRTCCCTCCACAGTTAGGCCTAATGAGGCACTGACCACTGCCTAGACCTCAGGCGGGAGGCGGAAACCCACCTCTTCATGTCCAGGGTCCGGTCAACAGTGGGGCTGTGGGCAGGAGGGAGAGGCTGCCGGGCCTTCACACAGGCCTCCCCTGCAGGCCCAGGTCTCCTGGCTGCAGCCTCCTCACCGGGAAGGTCTGCCCAGGTCCTGCCCGGCAGGTCCCCTCTTCTGCCCCCACAAGGAGCCTGGCTATTGGTGGCAGCACCCTCAGAGCAGCTGGACCCCACAGAAGTGGTAGATGTACTGGGGCCATCCTCCTGGACACACCCCAGCCTCACCTGGCCAGGAGGAAGCCGAGGTGGGGGCAGCATGTTGGGTTCCTTGAGGATGGAACAGCCCAGCTCCAGGGCCACCATTGAGGTTGCTGTGTCCTGGGGACCCTGGTTCTGGGGACCCCAGCCCTCCCACACATTAGGGAAAACCAGCTGTTTCCTGTTTGTGTTCTTTCCCTGCGCCACAGCTGAGGGTCCCCGAGCACCCCGCGAGACGGTCACTCCCTGACCTGCAGGCCCTGCTGTTCTGAGAAGAGATTTAATCACTTTGTTTTCTTGGTTTAGGTTTTGCTTTTTAATAAAAAAATGACCCTGTTCTGCTGCAGCCCGGGGCCCTGTGACGCTGCCTGCATGACAGGCGTCACTTCTCCAAGCTCTGCTCCAGCCGGCAGTGCTGAGCCAGGAGCTCCCAGGGCAGGGTGGTGGCCTGGGGACGGAGGCCTGCCCGCTGCCAGGACAGGGCGCTGCTGTGGGGGAGCCAGGGAGAAGCCAGGGGCTGCCCTCCGCCCTGTCGCTGGGGTTCCAGCCACACCCTGGCCCCTCCAGCCTGGGGCAGCCCTGGGGAGCAGGCTCTGAATGCCCGGCCAGGCCCAGGGGTCCTGGCAGGGGAAGGGGAAGGGGTGCAGGGCTGGAGGGGTGGGGCCACCTGACTTCCAGTCGGCCCCTGTCACGTCCCCCACTTCCCTTCCTCTACCAGGAGCGGGAGCCCAGGGAAGATGGACAGACCCCACCCCTGCTTCTTGGCTGATGTCCCTTCTTGGCTGGAGCTCCAGGGCCCCAGGGTCCTGGCTCGGGTCTGGAGGGCAGCTGGACCAGGGGTCTTCCGCCTCTTACTCAAGGACCCCCKGGTTCTCCCCTCCTGGGGCTCGAGAATCTGCCACGTCACGGGGGGGCCTGGGTAACAGTGGGCTCCCCTCCTCCAGGGTGCATTGAAGGGTTTCGGGGCCCAGTGGCACCCAGGAGAGTCACAGCCTCACTCTCAGAGCTCCAAGAGCCCTGCCCACAGCACTCCCTGCAGTCACCCAGGGCCAGAGGCAGAGAGCAGGAGAGGGGCTGTGGCAGGAGTGCGCGGGGCTGGAGCCACCGGGCTGGGGGCTCCTCTGGAGAGGGTGAGGGAGGGCCGGGAGGAGGATGGGCGCACAGGGGAGGGAGGGGCTTCCAGGGAGAGGAAAAGAATGGGGTCAAGGGGTTGGCTGGATGAGTCACCTGGTGTCAAGAGGTTGGTTGGGGCTCCAGYGCCAGCCTCTCTCCTCCCACGCCGTTCTGTTGTGGGAGAAGAGCACGTTATCACTGCCTTGGTAGCCGGCTTCCAAACCGCCCCAGGAGCCTCGCAGCACCCCCTCCAGATGCACCCCCTTGTGCAGCCTCCCCCAGTTATGAAGACCAACTGTGTCCCCAGTGGTGGTGGGTGACTTCTGAGTCGGGGGCAGAAGGACCGTGTCCTCTTCTTTCCGTCTCCCGCTCACACGCTCTGGAGGAAGCCAGCTGCTACGCACGGGGGTGCCCCAGGGGCCCTGTGCAGAGGCTCAGGGGAGGAACCCAGCCTCTTGCCCACAGGGGCACCACATGCCAGGGGGGTGCGAGCCACCTTGGAAGGAGCTGTACCAGTCCAGGGGGGGCTTCTGTGGCTGTGGCCCTGGCTGAGAGCTTGACGGCAGCCCCTGGGGAGACCCTGGGCAACCACAACCCAGCAAAGTGGCTCCTGCATCCCCGACCCCAGAGGCTGAGGTCACGAACGCTTAGCTCCAAGTCTTTATTGGGTGACATTTTGGGGTAATCCAGTATGTGGTGACAGGTAACTAAGACAGTCTCTGGCAGGTATGAAATAGAAACTTCTAGAAGTGGGGGAGGGGCAGTGGGAGAAAGACATGCGCACTGGAGCAGAGCAGGGTGACGAAGCTGAGGGGCCGACCTCTGCAGGCCTGCCCTGAGTCTGCTTGGCTCGGCCTCTGCCGCTGTGTGTGCTGGCCAGGTCCACCCCTCCCATGCAGCAGAGCTGGTGTGTGACAGAGGCAGACAGCCAACAACCACACAGGGACAAGCCGTGTGCCTCGGGGACAGCAAGCAGGGTGTCAGAGAGGGCTTGGCTTGAAGCCTGGGCCCACGAGACCACTAGGGTAGCCCACAGAGAGTCCCGAGGGGCTGAGTCCCCAGAGGGGGACTGGAGAAGCCCAGTGGAACACAGCTCAAAGGGGCTCCTACCTGGCAGCTGGCACTTGCTCAGTCCTGCTGTGCACCTGTATGTTGGCCCCTCAACATCCGGGCCCAGTTGTCCTCAGGCCAGGCTGGATGCTCTAGGCAGAAATATACCCACCTGGGCCTTTCCATTTGGCCGCACTTCCTGGATGGCTTGCAGGGAAGGGGCACCCACCAATCCACCCATGTAGCTACCCACCCATTTATTCATCTATTTACCCATCCATCACCCACTTACCCATCCATCCATCCATCCATCCACCCATCCATCCATCCATCCGTCCATCCATCCATCCATCCATCCAGGTATCTACTCACCACCATCTACCCGTCCACCCGTACATCCTTCCACACATCCCCACCACACACACACACACACACACACACTCATCATCCACTCATCTACATATCTTTCACACACACACACACACACACACACACACACACATCATCCACTCATCTACATATCTTTCACTCCCCTACCAAGCACCCAGGTGGATATCTGGGGGGACGTGTCCAGGCAGGAGCAGTAGGTGTGAAGCCCCATAGGCAGTAGTGTGAGTCTCTGGGGAAGGAGGCTGCAAGCAGGGGTGGTTTGCAGGCATGTCTGAGAGGCCCAGGGGAGCTGCCCAGGAAGGTCCCACAAGCCTGAGAAAGGTGGCACTGGGCCAGTGGGGAGCCTGGCTTAGGCGATAGGATCCCGTGTGGCTGTGTGAGCAGACCAAGAGGGGCCAGGGCCAAAGTCAGGAGATGAGGGGTCCCTGGCCCAGCAGGAAAGCCACTGTGGCCAGGTGGGAGGGAAGAAGACAAGCGGTCAGATCAGGATGGGGTGGAGGAGCTGAGCAGCTGCAAGGATTCAAGACCACCGCCCTGGTCTGCAGAGCAACTGGAGGCCTGGCCAGGCCAAGGAGAGGGGCACGTGGGGCTCAGGGCGGGCCTGCATCCTGCAAAGGGCTCAGAGGGTCTGGCTCTGCCCTCCCCAGGCAGCCGCACCCCTTCCTCCTTCCTAGGGCCAGCCTCTTGGGCATCACAGGGCTCTCTGGGCCTCTGGGGCAGTCCCCTAATCAGCCGCACCACCAAGGGCTGACCAGATCCCAGACTCCTGGCCATGCTGTGCCTCAGAGCAGAGGCACAAGGGAGCCTGGGCAGAGGACAGTGGGGCCAGAGGCAGGGGGCCGCAGAGATGGCTTGGGCTAAGCCAGGGTGGGGAATTCTCAGGTGGAATTTGGGGGACTGGATGCACGAGCCCAAAGGCTTTTTGACTCCGCAGCTTCAGTGAGGCCGGGAACAAGTCACCTTTCTCCCTGAGCCAGGAATGACCCAGGTGTGGCTTCCATTCTGGTATCCAGAAAACAGCTGATTTTAGAAGCTCAAGATTTCCCAGGGAAAGTGCTGTGCAGAGGAGGGAGCAGGGCACAGTCCAGGGCAGCTTGGGGACTCAGGCCCAAGCCCATACTGCCCCTTCACCCAGGGCCCTTCCCCCTGATCCCAGGCTCAGGCTGGGCCTGCAGGAAAGAGTCTGCCAAGGAGTGGCCAGTCCCCTGCCGACAGCCGACAGCCAGGTTACTATAGCACCAGTGACTGGACCTCAAGGTTCTGGAGAGCTGGTGGGCTAATCCGGGCACTAATCCTAGCAACACGTTGGGTCTAAGCCACATCAGGGCTGAGAGACACTGAGCAGGCTCTGGAGACCCTGCCGCCTGGGGGCTGGACCTCTAGGGCTAGGCGGGTCTGCATCCTGGCATTGCATGGAGGTGGTCCGAGGAGTAAACCCTGCACTTTACCACCTGGAGACTGTACCACCTGGAGACTGCCTGGGGTCTCTGTGGCTGTGCTCAGCTGGCAGTTGTCAGGATTAGGGGAGATAATCAGGTGAGGGAGGCCTTACCCTGCAGGCTGACTCCCTGCTGTGAGCAGGCAGAGACCTGGGGGCTTTGGGGGTGGGCTTGGGAACCTTGGTACACTCACTGGGGGGCCCATGCGGGGGTCGGGTGGCCTCAAAGACCCCAAAGTGGGCCATTGGAACCCTGAGCAAAGACAGAGCTGCCCCCAGCTCCCTGCATCTTGCACGAGGGCCCCAGCACCCCATCAGACGAGGCGGGAACTTGGGTGGAGCAGGGTGGAGGTGCGGCAGGGTCCAAGCCAAGCCCCATTGTTTAGAAAAGAAGGAACTGACTTCAGCTCCGGGAGCAGGGCCTCCCACCCCCACCTGGACTTCCTGCTCCCTAACCCTGCCAGAGCGGACTTTGTCACCTTATTTGGGGATTGAGAGGCCATGCTGCCTTGTGGCCTGGAGGTCACAGCGTGGAACTACAGACACAGGGTGGAGGGTACTGCAGCTATTCATCATGACCAGAGCTTAGCCAAAAAAGGTGTCATGAAAAGACCTACTTGCTCCTTCATCATCCAGCTGTCCAACTGCCTTTCCATGTCCTCCCCACCCTCCACCAACACCCACTCCTATGTCCACTAGTACCCACACAGCTGCCCCAAACACCCCTCCACCCCTCTTTCATCCATCCGTCCATCTCTCCCTTCATCCATCCGTCTCTCCCTCCCTCCCTTATCCACCTTCATCCATGCCACCCTCAACCCATCCATCCATCCACCCATCCACCTTCTCCACCAGGCTCCCTCTCGGGGTGCTCTCTGTGCACCTTCTTGAATGCCGTCACCCTCACCCCTCATCTACTCTTCTGTAGTTCTAGTCGCCTCTATCCACCCATTTCCCGACTCACTCATCTGCTTTATCAAGATCCATTCTTCTATCCACCTGACTACTCACGCCATCTACTTGCCCTTCCATAGACTTATTGATCTATCACTCACCCATCCTTCCATCTATCATCAACTAATTGACTCATCCAGCCCTCTACTTTTCTATTTCCCTAGCACTCTAACTATCCACCCATCCAGCTGACATTTTTATGTTCATCTACCCATCCACCACATATCCACCCATGCACCATTACCTAACCATATCCATCCACCCAGCAAACTACTCATTCATTCACACTTCTAGTCTACTTTTCAGTTGTTCACTACTATGTTTATCTACCTATCTACTACCCTCTTACCTCCCCACCCACCCACCATCCATGCCATGTTCACCCATCTCCCATCCATCATCCATTCATCCGTCTACCTACCACCATTTCCGATACAATTTTGTAACTTCCCAATTTGATAACTGGAAGTCCATTGCTAAGAAAACTTCAGTAAGTCCCTTTGCCGTGAAATGCAATGCTGCCTTTATTTCCCTCCTGCATCTATGACTTGTAGATTCTGAGCCATTAGCAGTCATGTCTGAGACCAGGATCAGGACATAAGGACTGTCCCTGTGGGACTTTCTGTTTTCCATACTGGAGATGACGCCAGCACACAGGCACTCCAAGGGGCTGAGCCCAGTGACAGCATGTGGCAAAGGGTCTCTTAGGCTCTGCAAGGCCTGGAAAAGTACGATAAAGGTTGTCTCTGGGGCTGGGGACATAGCTCAGTTGGTAGAGTGCTTGCCTTGCATGCACAAGACCCTGGGTTCAATCCCCAGTACCACAAAAAAGAAAAAAAAAAAAAGGTCGTCTCTGTAAAATGGGTTCCCAAGATTGTCCTGAGGGCTGCTGCAGAGCAAGACTGCGGGATACGCTTGATGGCTTCCTGGAGGTGAAGGCCTCTCCTCCCCCGACCTGATCTAAGGACCTCCGAGGTGAAGCGACACCCTTCAGTCCCAAGCAGCATCTGTACAATAGCTCATGTGGGGGTTGTTCTGCGGACAAGAGGAGCAATCCAGGTGAGGGGGCAGAGGAGAGAGAGGTGCTGAGATTTGGGGAAACCGGAAGGGAGTCTGGCATGGCTAACTAATGCTGGAATGGACACAAAGGTGGCAGGAGGTGAGTGCTGGGGCACCAGTCCTAGTTCCATGGCAGCCCCCCTCTGGGCCCAAAGAGGGCTTCTCTGGTGAGAGGTGTTGAACAGCATCAGAACTTGCTCCCTAGGGCCCCCAGTGGCCCTGAGCCTGGAAGGGTGAGCAGCTTGCACTCCTGGATCTGGCCTGAGCCCCTCTCTTGGACCTCAGCCTCCTCAGCCTCTCAGGTCATCCTAACCCAGCTACCCTGGCCACCTTGAGTCTGCAGGGCACCACCCTCTAGCTTCTTCTCCTTCCAGCCTCTGACCTCCATGACAGCCCAGAGACCTAACCCAGAGGGAGGGGTCCCCTAGGACTCACTTGTTACTGACCCCCAGAAGTTCTCGGCCCAAACTCCCACTCAGTGGCCACTGGGCATCCAGAAGTAAAAGAGCCCTTTGAAATGGACCTCTAGCCGATGGCTACATGTTCCCCAAAACCTGAACCCAGGGAGCTCAGCCAAGCGCATGGGCCTGGGCAGCTGGCTGGGGCTGGGCACTCACCTTTGGGGCTTTGAACCCCAGGAAGGGCTGTCCTTTGCAGGCCCGCTGTGGACATGTGGGGTGAGAGCCCCCATGGGCACAGGGCACATGCTGCCAGAGAAGGCCACGGTGGCTGGGGGAAGTGTCATCAAAGAGCTGCAGGCTCATGGATGAGGGGACCCCGGGCAGGGTGCACCGGGGGGTTGCTTGTTAGGCTGGAGGGGGTGGGAGAGCAGGGGAGGGAATGGGGGCCCAGGGCCTCCCCGAGTTCCTTTCTCCTGGGGCTCTGCCCCGTGATGAGGTAACAGCCCGGGCCTTCCTGCTGGAGCCTGCGCAGCCAGGGCTGGAAGCTGGGTCCTGGGCTCTGGCAGCAGCTTCTGCCAGCAAAGAGAGGCGGGAGCCTGTGGGGAGCCCTCCCTGGCACAGCCCTCCCTACTCAGGTCCCTTCTCTTCTCCCCATTAGCATCTGCGTCCCAGCTTGGTCTAGAGCTGCCCAGAGCCTACACAAGTGCCCTGACCTCCTGCGGCCCTGGTCTGGACCAGTCCGGCTAGGGTGGAGGGAGCCTTGATGGCCGGCAGCAGTCAGGTCAGCACCTGCCCCGGCCAGCACTGTCTCCATCCTCCTGGGCACGTTCCTGAGGCCGCCCTCTCAGTGGGGCACCCGTGAAGACAAGTGTGCACCCTTCCCTGCCCCAGCAATGTGGGTGGCCACGGGCAGGGAGGGGAGGGTCTGTGACCCCAGCCCGTCTGAGTCCTCCTAGGCTCCCCTGAAAGTAGGGAGCTCCAGGATGGTCAGACTCCATTCGTCCCGAGCCAGCGCGAGTGTTTTTATTATCGTCACTGAAGCCCGTGCGTAGTGAATTAATTTCCTGATGTAGTAAACATTTTGGAAAGCCAAGATCCTCTCCTTCCTGTCTCCGTGCCAGCAAAATTCCCCAAGCCAAGACTGTCTTTCGCAGAGCACGAGAGGCCATCCTCCTGGATGTGACATTCCTGGGACTCGAAGACCCTCTTAGCCCCTAGAGCCTCCCCAGGGTCCAGAAAGTCCCCTTCAGGGGGGTCCCCCTGGGGGTGTGCAGGGCATCCCCCGTGGCTGGCAGGGCTTTCTGTGGGCGGTGCTCCCGGGGTGCAGAGCTGTCAGAGCTGGGTGAGCAGGGCAGGAAGTCCTGGGTTCCGATGCCAACCTGTTTTCTTGAAATGGAGTGTCCCAGACTAAGGAGGACCATCTCTAGGGGAGGACCCCAAGGCCAGTGGGGACATTTGTCCTCTGACTCTTGACTTTTGGGGGAGTTCATTTGGCCAGGCTTCTTCTGGTGGGAGAAACAGTTCTGGGGATGGGCAGGCTCAAGGTACAGCTGGGTGGCTCTAAAGGCAGGCCTTGTGGCCCATCCTTGGGCCCATCCCTGCATATCCACTGACCACTGCAAGGCTCCTCCAATCCCAGGGGTCTCTGGGAAGGAATCCTCCACATTCGGAAGCCCGGGCTCTGTCTGGGATGGTATTTCTCTGGCTCAGGGGTGCCCGCCTTGGAGCAGCCCCAGGGTCCCAGGACCTCTGAGGAATATGGAGATGCGTCCCCATCCTCTGTGGCTATGTGGGATGACATGCAGATCCTGCCACCACTGTCCTACTGTATTCTCCAAAGGACGTTGGGAGGTGGGGCAGGTGAAGAGGAAGCAGGCCAAGAGAGGCCAAGGGATGACCGGGAGGGACAGTGTGAGGGGTGGACCCAGCAGCCTGCCCTCACCAGGCTCCTCTGCCTGTGGAAGGGGATCCTCTGCCTCAGCCAAGCGTGTCTGCAAGCATGAGTGGTGCATGTGCATGGTGCCTGTGGGGTGTACACCCTGCACACATGAGCTTGCACACATATGCACTTCAACCGTACGTGTGTGCAAAGTTACATGCAAGTGTGTGTGTGTGTGTGTTCAGGCAAGTGTTGCACATGTGTGCACGTGTGTGTGCCCTTGGTCATGGAGTGGTTTCCGTGCCCCCCGCCGCACACTGTCCATGTTGCTGCCTTTTTTCCTGTTCGTGTTTGGCATTTTTTGCTGCTGAGTTGGGGGGCCGTGGTTTTGGGGCGGCTGGGCAGTGGGGGAGGGGTTGTTTATGCCAGTCGTCCATCCAGGCTACACATTCTTGTGGTTGTCTCTTTAACTTGGTAAAAATTTGGGAAATTTCTAAATAAAACAAAACAAAGGAAAAACATTTTCAAAAGGATTTCAAAATCCATGCTGCCGCTTCCCCAGGAACCAGAGCCGAGGGCCTGGAGACGCCCCTTGGGGGCGGAGCGAGGGTTCCTAACGACAACACCTACCCAAGGCCCTGTTCTCTGCTGAGCTCCCTGCGGGAAGAAGCATCCAAGTCATGGGAGGTCCTGGCAGGCCTGGATCCGGGAGGTCAGCCCTGGCTCCAAGATGCCAGCCCTGTCTGTGGCAGGAGTCCCTGACGCCAGGCCTGAGGGCCAGTCTGGGCATCTGTGGGTTCCGATTGCCAGGTAAGAGGGTGGCCTGGGTGGGGCTCCAGGGAGCTGGGTCAGGCAGCTGCCAGGGAGGCCTGGGAGTGAGTGAGGGGGAAAGGGGTGTTTGTGGGCGGGCACCAGGGGTCAGCTGTGCGGGCCTAGTGAGGGCGGGTCTTGGGCGGTCTTCCAGTCTGGCTGGGGCTGACCAGAGAAGGCTCTGAAAGGGTCAGTGTGGCCTGGGAGGTGCACTGGTCCAGGGTGTGGTGTAGGACAGGGCCTGCGCACAGAGCTGTGGGGTGGGAGAGGGGTCCTCTGAGGGATGGGAGGGCTCACGTGGAGAGGGAGGTGAGGTGGGTCTGGCCTCCCTCGGGCAATGGGACATCCCACAGAGGACCCAGGGGCCTGGCCCCTTCCTGCCTGACCACTCCTGTAAAGGGCTGGTGTGCAGATGGCCCCCGGGAGGCCTGTCCTGCAGCCCGAGCTCTGTCCCCGGGAGCAGGAAAGGTCCCTGGGAAACACTGCCTCTGGCCTTGGATTCTCACCCCATGCCAGGTGCACGGGGGCTCCAGATCCTTCCTGTCCTGTCAGGGGGTCATGTGACAGTGGGATGAGAGGCTGGCCTCCACGTGACCCTGGGGACCCCTGATTGGGGATGAGCTCTAGTGTGGTCTCTGGGTCTGGGCAAGTCTGGGTGGACTGCTTGGTGCAGGGGGTTCTCTGGGGGCGGAGGGGTGAGGTGGCCCTAAGTGTGGCCGCTTCCTGTCCATAATGGAGCAGCCCCTCGCCTTCTCTTCCTGACCAAACGGTCCTGGGCTGGCTTGGTGGCCTCAGGGCCTTCACACTGACTTATGAGCCACATGGGGTCCTGCTTCCAGGGGTCCAGAGCAGCAGTGTCTGTGGGAGCTGGGGCAGGGCATGGAGTGGACAGCATGTTGGAAGGACTCCTGGGGACTCCAGGCCTCCTGGGCTTGTCCATGTGGCTCCTGCCTCAGCCTCCGAGGCCACATGGCAGTGTGTCCTCTGCTATGGTCTCCCACTCCTAAGGACCCGCCCAGAAACCCCAGCACCATCTCCCCACCTCCGACCCTTCACTCTGCCACGTCCACACAGACCTCTCCTCCTCACAGGGTGGGGGTCAGCTCCCTGGGCCTGTTCACCTGGCCCTGCCAGCCATCTGGCTCCCTTCAGAGCAGAGCTCCCCGGGAGGAGGCCTCTCCTGTCCTCTCCAAACCCACATCAGATGGCTCTAGCCTCCCCAGGGTAGTTCTCTGGGGTCCCTGGAGTCCGTGAGGTGGCCCCGTCATGGCCCCTGGCTTCACGGCACCTACCCAGACACTCGCCGCTCCCTGGACAGTCCCTGCCAGGGCGGGTGGGTGACTCCCAGGCTGACCCGGTGGTCAGTCCCTCCCCTGACCTCTTCCCAGGTGCCCAGTTATCTCCTGAGCCCTCCTAGGTGTCAGTGTCTGCACCTGCCCTGCCCCCACGCCACGCCATCTCCCTTCAGCAGACCGCCACGATTTGACACTGGGCCCAGATCCCAGGGCATTTCCCTTTAGATCAAATGTCCTGATTTTTAAAATTATTTTTATTTGGCTTCATTACAGTGAGTTTTAGTGGTGAAGTAGAGGAGGAGAATTTAGAGCTTCAAGTGGACGTGGGGCCAAGTGGTTTCTGATCTGCGGACCTCGGGGCACGAACCTTCCCCGTAGAGGGTCGGAGCGTGGCCTGGGGTCCCTGCTTGATGGCTCACCCGGGCCTTCAGGAGCAGCCATGGACTATTCATAAAGGGCCCAGGGCGCTAGTGGACAATGGCCACCTGCCCACCACTTGCCTGGGGAGACCAGGAGGCGAGATTGGGTCTTTATCACCAAATGGAACCTCGCAGAGGCACGTGGCCCAGGCACTCCTGGTGCACAGTCTCCACTTTTAAACAACGGACGAGAGCATTTCAAAGACACCAAGGATTTCCCAGAGCACGGCAGAATAAACAACTTTCCCATCTGTTAAACAATGATAAGCTTTTCTAACTACACACAGTGAGTGTTCTGGTCAGGGCCAAGTTTCTGCATAGTAGTCCAGAAGTGGATTAAGAAACAAATGGATTTACTACTTTGTTATTGTGGTAAAACAGACAGGACATGAAACTTGCCATCATTAGGTTTCCAAGCTCACTCCAAGACTGCGCGGCTGTCACCCGCTCCAGAGCGTCACATCTCCCAGACTGGAAACCTTCAACACCGACTCCCCGTCCTCCAGCCCCTGATCCCGGAGAAGGGCGCCAAGGACCCTCGATGCCACATGCATGGCTGCTCCTCCCCTGCCTTCCTGCTGCCCCCCCCACTCATACCTGCCCCTAGGTTCGGCCCTCCCCCTCCTGGTGAGCTCCTTGGGCTGCCCATGACCCAGGCAAGTACACTCCCGGCTCCCCGGCTGCAGGCTCAGATCTGGGTCAGCGGCCTGAATCTGTACCCAGACGCTGCTCCGAGTCAGCTGCAGAACACGCCTGCCTCTCCCTCGGCCCCAAASCAGTCGGCATCTCTCCTGCCCCCGGATTCCTGGGCTCAGGGGACCCACCACCCTGGTCAGCACGCCTGCAGTACCTCGGCTGCCAAGGGGGACTGAAGTGAAACCAGGGCCCTGGAGACCCGTGTTCCACCCAGGAGAGACAAGAGACGAACAGCAGTGTGGACACCACCTCTTTCATGCTGGGGGACTCAAGTCAGGCCGTCCTGGTCACCCACATGGACCTGTGTGAGGGGAGCCAGAGGCTCACAGTCTGCCCAGTGTGCTCCCTTCTGCCCTGCAAGGCAGGCTGGACCAGCTCTCCTCACTTCCACCAGCACAGAGCAGAACCCAAAAGTGAGGCTTGCCAGAGCGGGCACAAGCCACACGATGACATCCTGGACAGTGGTGGGTGGCATATATGAAATCCACATCACCCTGTGACGTCACAGTCACCACAGTAGCTCAAGGTGTGATGTGCACACTCGCCCGATGCTGGTGGGCATGAACACAGCCGCTGTGGAGCCAGTCCTGAAAGTGTGGCATGTGTCGTCACACGGTGTRTGATCCTGGGAAACGAACACCCCCACTGCTGGCTTAAGGGTTCATTCCACGCACTTTTAATTGTTATTTAGAGTCTACTCCTTTTACTTTTAAAACAGAGAAGTTTGCTGAGCTCGGTGGCACATACCTGTAATTCCAGTGACGAGGGAGCCTGAGGAAGGAGGATCTCAAGTTCAAGGCCAGCTTCAGGAACTTAGCGAGACTCTGTCTCAAAATAAAAAACTAAAAAAAGAGCCTGGGATGTGGCTCAGTGGTAGAGCACTTACCTGGCATGCACAAGGCCCTGGTTTCCATCCCCAGCTCTGCCAAAAAAAAAAAAAAAAAAAAAAAAAGGCATTCTGTGGATGGCAGCAGATACACCTTGTCCCTGAGCACACAGAACCCACTACTGCTGTCACAGTGGGAGGCCCCTGGAGTGACAGGCTGGACACAAAGCCACAGGCCACCAGCGGCATGAGGCCTCTCCCTTGCTGGGCTAGCTTGAGACCAGCCATGGAAAGCAACCTGGCCATCAGCCTCTGAGGGGACAAGGTGGCTCCAGGAGGTGGAGAACAGGCTGGTGGGCCACAAGGGGCAGTGGCTGCTGCTGATGCCCACTCCCCAAAGCCACCTGCACTGGGCGGCACCCTGCAGCTGGATGGCCATGGGGGAATGAGGTCACTCACCTCTGAGGCTGTCACGGGGGAGCCCACGCCAGGGCCCTGGGGTCCCCAGCTGTGTTTGTGACATTGATGGTCCCTCCAGTCACTGTCCCGGCTGCCACACGGTGTTTTATCTAGAGGAGGAAAGAGAAGGCCTGGGGGAGTCAGTGTGTCCTGGTGTGGGGCCGGCCGCCTTTCCCACCGTGTGTTCACGCTTGTCCGGTTGCAGTTAGAAAGGAACCTTCCTGTCCACGGACAGGGGTCAAGTTGTCCAGAGACGCTGCAGGGCTTCACCCAGCTATAAAGAAGGAAATCAGGCATGAGCGGGCGACGCACGGGGCTGCGCTGCGGGACCTGGTGCTGAGTGCAAGCTGGAGGGAAAGGGGGTTCCTGGAAATGGAAGGGGAGAGTTGCGTGGAGGACGAGGGGAGGGCAAGGGGCGAACCAGGCGGTGCAGCTGACTGATGGTGTCACGCGCAGACGCGGAAGTTCACAGCGCGACCCACTGCTTGTATAATTACACCATGCCAATAAACAGTGAATCACACCCTGAGGGGTTTCCAAACTTTAAATAAGAATATTGGAAGGGGAGGCTATTGAGAGAGTCCACATTCTAAATGAATCCAGGTAGAGCCTACATAGATGTGCTTGGTCGTCACTGCTGTGAGTGGCTTTACCTCGAGGCTGACACACGGCGGGAGCTGATTCTGTGCCAACGGACTTGAGTCCCGTTCCTACACAGGATACAAAATCATTTCACTGCATCACCAACTTTAATTTCATATTTCTCTATTTTAATTAAACCTTCATGTAGGTTGTAATAAAGACGACATAAAACAAAAGTAAGTGGGGGGCGGCGCCCACCTGTGATCCCCACAGCATGGGAGGCTGAGGCAGGAGATGGTGAGTTCAAAGCCAGCCTCAGTAAATTAGTGAGACCCTATCTCTAAATAAAATATAAAAAAGCCTGGGGTGTGGCTCAGTGGCCAATCACCTCTGGGGTTTAATTCCTGGTACCGACCAACCAGCAAACAAAAACCACAACAAAACAAAGTAAAGCGTTGCTTTGGGATAACGCAGGGGTGGAGCAGAGAGGCCTTGGGGGGTGACAATCAGGTGACAGGTTGATAGAAAGTTCCTTACTCAGGTCCCTACATTCGCTCCTGTGGGGAGTTTCCATTGAACACAGTGGGGACTCCCATATCCCAGGGACTTCCCAGGTCAGGGGAGTCCGCGGGCAGCCTGGCTCCTGGAGACTCAGGTGGCCGGGCTGAGCAGCCTGCACTCTGCTGGGTGGCCCCGCTGGCCCCATGGGCCCTGCCATGGACTGTGGGAACATGCAGCCCCGCCTGGGGAGGAACTGGAGCCCTGACCACCACCAGAGAGAACACAGTCCCTTGGAGCCAGAGCTGAGCCAGGCTGGAGCTTCAGGCAGGGTCACCCTGCACTTCCCCTGTGAGTTGGGGACCGGTTAGATCTTCCCTGATGTAAAATGAGTGGAAATCCAACTTCTGAAAATACATGAGGCTTTTGTCCGGGAGAGCAGGATGGAGGCCTAGCCCTCCCAGCAGCCCGGGCCCAGCCCAAGGGTCCGCAGCTCATGGACTCTCCTGGTTAAACCCATTCTTCCATTTTCAGCAACAGCCTCTTTCCCACCGTGGCCAATCCCCACACCCACAATCACTGAAGAGGGTAAGTGGCCACCGCTTCCCTCGTCCCCTGCCCCTCTTCTCCCATTCCAGGAAGTTGGGGGGAGTGGGCCCCCGCCTCGTGGCTGTCTCTGGCTCCAGGTGAGGAGGGCCATTAGCACCATGGGGGAGGGTCCTTCCTCCCTCCTGGTCCCTGATGCCCCTCGGCCTTCCCCTTCCTATGCTCAGCTGTCCTGCAGGCCGTGGCTCTGAACACCACATCCCGGTCAGGGCGGGGACTGGCCACTGCAGCCTGGAAGCCATACGTGCAGCTTGCTGTAGGGCTGGTGGCCTGGGCTGGCTCCAGGTCTGCAGGGCCCCTGCTGCCCACCCCGTCCTGTCTGGATTCCCACCCAGGGCCCTGCTCTGGCCTCAGTGCACCACAGACCCACGTAGGAGAGGTGGTGTTCCACCCTAGGGTCTGATGCCTGAGCACCCGGAAGTCTCCACAGGCTGCTGCAAAACTGGGCTGCAAGAGGCCCCCAAGGTGGCAGGGACCAGGCAGAACACGGAACCTCCAACCAGGGCTCCAGAGCCCTCCAACCAGGGCTCCCCTGCTGTGGGCCAGGGAGGATGGGGAGGGGCTTCTGCAGGAGGCGGCAGCTGTCCAGGAGAGAATGAGCCGCTAGGCCCGAGGACACCAGAGCAGAAATCCTGACTTTCCAAGGTGTTTCAGCCTTGGGACAGACGGAACACCAGTGAGGGTGGGAGCTGGAGCCTCCTCACTGCCAGGGAGGTGTTCGCCAGAGGCTGCACACAGCTAAGGGCCAAGCAGCACCCACCGTCAACCAACAAACACGGTCCAAGCACAGCCTCCAAAACTGTGAGGTATATAAGACCCTTTTCTTCATAAAGTTGGCCTGCCTCAAGTATTTGGTTATAGTAGTGTAACACAGATTAATGCACATGGGTTACACATCTGAGATTCAATCAACAAGAAATTGCAAATGGGAACTTTGTCATTATACTCTAAACAGTACAGCATAATAACTGCTTGAGTAGCATTTGCATTGTTTGGGGTGTTATGGGCACCCTAGAGATGATTTGAAGTATACCAGGGGATGTGTGTATGTTCAGGTAAATACCACATTTTTTATGAGGGATGAGGCTGCATGGATTTGGGTGTCTGCAGAAGTCCCCAGATTAATCCTCCATGGACATTGAACAAAGGTGCAACCAGGAGAGTGTCAGAGGACACATCAGGGTCTACCTGTGGATCTCTGTCAGCCATAGTAATCATGTAGGGCCTTTACTCTGAGTGAGGCAAGGGGCTGTGCTGGGCTCTGAGCAGAGGAGGGACAGGCCCTCCATCCCATTTTCTCCATGGAGCATGGACTTCAGGGGGACATGGCAGGAGAAGGAGGATCACTGAGAACCTCAGTGTATAATCCCGGGAGCTAAGAGGGTGGCCAAATGTGTAGGGAAGGTGGAGGTCTGAAGGCGAGTTAATGCTGATTCTAGTGTCATCCAGAGCTCTTCTTATTCTCATTTGAGGTGTGTGGGGGACTCTCCCCAGATACCTGCATTCCAACAGATGTAACATGGAGTGTCAGAGAAAGAGGGAATCAAACACGGCAGCAAGGATCTGCCCTGAGCAATGGGAAGGATGGAACAAGGTCCGAAGTCTCTTTGGTTGGAACAGCAGGCCTGCTGGGGAGAGAAGGGGAGGAGAGAAAGTCGATGCGGTTAGTGAGAAGTCAGCTGGGACTCTGCATGTATTTGCTTGTTTCAGGATGGAGGAAATGCCAGCCTATTGGCATATTAAAGGATCCTAAATAATAAAATGTTGCAGGGCCTGGAACTCCTCTCCAGTGATTGGGTGGCCTTTGAAGGAGCATAGAGATTTAATGACTGATGTTGAGGGAAAGACAAAAATATCATGGAGTGAGTAGATGAGTTTGTGGATAAAGGGATGTGCTGGAGAGAGATATGCACTCTGAAGTGGAGAAAACCAAGTTATTAGTGGAAAAGGAAGGCTCAAAGAAACATTGAAAACCAAAGAGAAATGAGAAACAAGAGGAAGGAGAATCTAAAAGGGATATGTATTAGTGAACATTGTGGAGTATGAGTACGGAATATAAAATGTGGGGCGTGAAGAATGGAGAGTGAAGTTTGGAGAAAGAAATATGAAGAATGAAGTGTAGGGCTGGGGATGTGGCTCAAGCGGTAGCGCGCTCGCCTGGCATGCGTGCGGCCCAGGTTCGATCCTCAGCACCACATACCAACAAAGATGTTGTGTCCGCCAAGAACTAAAAAAATAAATAAATATTAAAATTCTCTCTCTCTCTCTCTCCCACTCTCTCCCTCTCTCTCACTCTTTCAAAAAAAAAAAAAGAATGAAGTGTAGAACACAAGGAGTTGAGTTTGAAGCAAGTAGTGTGGAATATGGAAAATGGCACATGAAATATGGAGATGGGGTTATGGAGTAAGGAACTGAGAATACAATATAAATAATAAAATATAGAATGTGAAGAGTAGTGTATAGAATATAAAGAATTAAGAATGATGACAGAATGTGGAAAATAGAGCATGAAGTATAGATGATGAAAAGTGGTATATGAAGAATGGAAATTAAAGTATGGAGAATATAGCACGGAATATGCAAAGTGGAGACAGAGAGTAGAGTATGGAGAATGGAATAGAGAATATGGAGAACAGAGTATGGTAAATGGAGAATTGGTCATGGGGTATAGAACAGGAAGAACAGTGTGTGGAATAGAGACAATAAGGAATGGAGAAAAAAGTATAAGGAATGGAGGAGAATGAAATATGAAGAATAGAGTATGGAGATAGAAAATGGAGAGTGGTGTGTGGAATCGAGTATGGAGACTACACTGTTGCTTGTAAAGTTTGGGATATTGTAATATCAGCTACTCAGAAGGCTGAGCCAGAAGAATCATGTGTTTGGGGTCAGCCTTGGTAACATAGTAGACCCTGTTAAAAAAAAAAAAAACAAGATTGGTGTATGGATTATGGAATTAGCAATAGAAGACTGGTGAAAGGACTTGGAATATTCAGAAGGGAGTAAGAGCTACGGAAAATTATGAATAATAGAATATGGAATATTGAGAATATAGTTGTAGAATGAATGGTGGAGAATGGAGAATGGACTGTGGAAAATGAAGAATGAATAACAGAATATAGAGAGTGGATTGTAAAGTGGAGACTGGAGGAGGAGAGTGGAGTACGGTGTGTGAAGTGTGGAGTATGGAGAATGGAGCATACTGAATGAAGTAAGGGGAAGGAAAATGAAGGGAAGTACCAAAAACAGAGTATAGAATATGGTAAAAAAATGTCTGGAGTACGGAATCAGAGATAAAAGAATGGAGAAAGATGGAATAGAGAGAGTAGAGTAGGAAAATGGAGAATATGAAGTTTGGAGAGCAGAGAAGAGAACATGGTGAATTAAGTGTGAAGAATGGAGAATGAACTGTGAAGAATGAATA